TTATTATTATTATTATTATTATTATTATTATTATTATTATTATCATTATCATCATCATCATCATTATCATCATTATCATCATTATAATCATTATCATCATTATCATCATTATTATCATTATTATCATCATCATCATCATTTTCATTTTCATCATTATCATCATTTTCATCATTATCATTATTATTATCATTATCATCATTATCATTATTGTTATTATTATTATGTGACATTTCCCAGGAGATAGCCGCAGTTGCGATAGAAGTCCACATTACATCTAGATCAATAGCTGATGAAAAACTCGGAAAGCATCCTGTCTATGATAATATGTGCCTTCACTCTATGGTAATAATAATATGACTCGACAAGCTTTCAAAAAAATAATAATAATATTACTCGACAGAGATTTCGACAGTTAAATTAATGCTAATCATATTCATTTTCAAACTAATAATGCAGATCAAATGCGTCAATAAAGATAGCAGTGTCGTTTTTCAGGATGAAAGTGTCATCTTTGCCGATGTCATTCTGCATTGCACAGGGTATGCTCTCTGTTTGGGCTTTGGTTTGATGATCGAAAATAAAGCGTTTTTGGTAGCATTTTGGAAATAATTTTGATTTTGAGCATAAAAATGGAAATGGGGTCTTTTGAGAGTATTGTTGGGACTATTTTTGAAACTGCATTAGGTGTTTTCGACAGAGATTGTAATTAAGGATAAAAAAGAGTGGAACTGAATTATTTTGTTATGAACATGAAAATATTTACTGAGTGTACAAGCTTTCAACAAAGAAAACGGAGAAGGCGAAGAAAAAAAAAAACTTTTGAGCGTTTTTCATCATTTTCTTAACAAAATATGAAAAATTTTTCTATTCATTTTTGTTTCCTGACAAAAAAGAGAATCAAACTATTTCAAAAGCCTATCCAAAACACTCGCTTTGGAGATGATAGCAAACGGCTTAGTCTTTTGGTATGTCTAAACAATGAAAGTTACCCTTCATTACCTTTCTTAAGGTACAAGTATCATTTCCCTTTTCTTGAAACCAATGGCCTTGTCACCGTGGACGACAATTGCGTCAGACCATTGTACAAGCACGTCTTTCCACCGGCTTTGGCTCCATGGCTTTCCTTTGTTGGATTACCAATGAAGGTAATATTAAACAAGCATATTTATTTATCTCAATAGGATTAAAATCTCACTATTCACATGAGATGAGTCCTGTTAAATAACTAAGTGAGATCTAACCTAATAAGACTCATATGAGTGGTGGGATTTTATTCTTATAGGGATAAATATTATTTTTCTATTATACATGATCTCCTTTAACTAAGATAAGCATATACTTGAATGCTTCTTGGGTTTTCGCATGAAAAATGGTAAATTTTGTATGATTTGTTTTCTGCAGGTTATTCCTTTTACCGTGTGTGAACTTCAGTGCAAGTGGATAGCGGGTGTTTTGTCTAATCGAACAACACTTCCTTCTGAAGAGGATATGATGGAGGACATTAACGTGTTTTACTCCATGCTTGAAGTTTCTGGCATACCCAAGAGATATACTCATAATTTGGCCTATCATCAGGTAAAATTAATGATTCACACCCTAATTGTTTATTTATTTAGAGATTATTCTGATGATCAGTACCCCTAACATTAACTGCATGGTGTCAGGATCATTCTTACTTTGGTTTTAAAAACTCTCACTTTACTTCATTAATTCTACATACCTTATGTTCAAATTCTCATTAAAAGAAAACGTAAAATGATCACCTGATCTATTTAAGCCCCTCTTTTTCTGTCTATTTTTAATAGATATTTTCACAAAAATAATTAAGTGGGATTAAATTCAAATTTACAGAGGACAAATAAGAGGTTTTGAAATTTAAGGTGCAACATGAAAATGACTCTAAAATTGAGGGATCACTGATAAGAATAGTTCTTAAATTTTTTTTTTTTTTTTTTTTGTGTTAATATTTCTTCTTTTATTTTTCAAAAAATAATCATGAGCGCATTTCACATTCATGTGAGCTTCTCATTTGCAATATGCAGTTTGAGTATGATGATTGGCTTGCGGTTCAGTGCGGTTGTCCACCATATGAAGAGTGGAGGAAACAAATATTCTTTGCGGTAGCCAGGATGAAGCATGCTCGACCAGAGACATTTAGGGATGAGTGGGATTACGAGGATTTGATATTGCAAGCTCACCATGACTTCATAAAATACTTACAGATAAAGTAAATATATTATGATTAGACAAAGCTTATTTCTTGTGTTTTTGGTTTAAGTTAATACACAAGTAAATAAAGAAATTTTAGTAAATGAAATAAAGCGCCACCTCCTGTTTTGGTGGCCAAGGATACATGTATGTCATAATCTATTATGCATAGATTTGGAAAGGTGATAAAAATAGTCGATAATCAATTATTAATTTATTGATTATTCTAATCAATGCCCTTTAATTTTAAGATCATTTCTCCTAAACATATATAGGACAGTCCTTCCGTCCCTTAGGGGACGTGACGGACGTCCCCGGCTCTTTTTTTTATATATTTTAATGTCGTTATATTGGTTGTCTATTAATTTCTTTCTTATTATTCGCGTAATTGGAAAAGCAAATTATTGGGATCAAAATTATATTTGTTTAATGTACCGAAAAAAATTAAAATGTGTCAAGTAAGTAAAACCGAATATAAAATATTGAAAATCTTAAAATCCCCTAATTAGAGCCAATATTTTTTTAGCATATAATTAATTATTACCAAAGCGTAGTGGTTAATGCAAGGCTCAAAGATTTCATTTTTAATGTATGCTTCTACGAACACTTGGCGTGTTAAAGTCATGCAAGGATTTCATTACTTTATTATTTGGAGATCAGCTCAGACTGTAACATCATCACATGGTATCCTTCTAGAGTTGCAAACAGTATTTATTTAATCATTTGCTTGGCTTACAAAGTCAGTTTAATATTTTTACAGGTACTCCTTAGTGCAATTATTCGTAATATTCGCTGGACAAATTAAGATTATGACAATTCCGAGGATTTCATGTCAGTGATGTTAGAATTATTCTACTCTGGCCCTACTTAAGTATGAGATGCCTTAATAAGGTCTCTAATGCCAAAACATTATAAATACAAAAAAAAAATGTTAATGAAATATAAGAACAGCAAAAAAAAAAAAAAAAAACGGAAAAAAAAAGGTAAAACAAAAAAAAAAAAAAAAAGAGTAAAAAAATTAAACAGACAATCAGAAATATCGTTCATAGGATTAAATTAACCGAAACATGTGATTGGTGTTGGAACATTTGATATTTGATATCGACACAAATATTTGGATTATAAATTAGTGCGCAGTCGTACGTTATATATTTGGATTATAAATATTTGAACTTAAATCTTTGGTTTGACGACAAAGCCACAGTACTTCATGTAGGGTCTGAGGTTGCGCGCAAAGCTAAAGCCACGAAATTCACACCAAACGACACTTAAGACCCAAACAAAAAACAAAACAAAAAAACAACAAAGATATTTTAAATACTACCATTTGTGATCAGAAACAAAGAGCAAGGAAACAAATATCAGAGAGAGAGAGAGAGAGAGAGAGAGAGAGAGAGAGAGAGAGATGGAGAAAAGTAGAGTACTGATTGTTGGAGGAACTGGGTACTTGGGAAAGAGGATAGTGAAGGCAAGTTTAGCGGAGGGTCATGAAACGTATGTCGTTCATAGGCCTGAGATTGGAGTTGACATTGAGAAAGTTCAAATGCTGTTGTCGTTTAAGGAGAAAGGAGCTCATTTGGTGGAGGCTTCTTTCGACGACCACCAGAGCCTCGTGAACGCCGTGAAGCTGGTGGACGTCGTTATTTGCGCCATTTCAGGCGTCCATATTAGAAGCCACCATATCCTGCTTCAACTCAACCTTGTTCATGCAATTAAAGAAGCCGGCAACGTTAAGGTACGTATCATTTTTTTATTTTCTTTTTGACAAATTATTCTTTAAAAAGTTTAATTTTCTGATAGTTTTGATATCTGACACTAAATTATATACTAAAATTCACAACATATTTTCTGAATTCTTCTTAATAGGGATCCCATCGAGGTCTTCTTTTCTTTTCTTTTATTTTTTTAAATGGCAACAAGGATTCAAATATAGAGTAATGCCAAATCAAACAGTTAATGTTACATTAGTTGGCTCTATAAGTTTTTTTAATTGTGCTAGGATTACACGTTGCTCTTCGCAAAAATATTTGCCTTCACGGTCGTATATAGTTACTTGCACTTTATTGATCATGTATACTTACACGTAAGGAAAAAGTTTCCACAAACGCATATTCAAATATTGTTTTACCTAATTCAATTAACTATACATGTTCTATTTGTTGGGAGAAAAAGACACCCTTACTCCTGCAGCAAAAAAATAAATTGAAATAGATACAATAATAACATTGAGAAGATAAAAATTTACAAGGTCAGCGAAATTGTCTACATCTATGTAAGAGAGAGAAGAGTTAACTAACAACCTCAGAATCACATACTCAATAAACTTTCTCAATCTGTCTCTACCAAAAATCTCTTAAATCTTATCTTTCTTTCTTCTCAATTTTATCTCTTTTTTAAAAAAAAAAAAAAAAAAAAAAAAGAAACAATCTTTTCTCTCCACTTTTCTCCGACCACCTAAAACCTGACGAAAAAAAAAACATATTTATAAACTCCCAATGGACCATAACATAACCACAAACCAAAAAGGCACAAAATAATAACTTAAGCCCAAAATATTAATTTGATCGCATACCGCTATTTTCTTAATCTAAGTAATAATGCTCGATCGGAGTTCGAGAAATCATAAAGTACTAGAAGAAGAGTGTATGCATTGTTTGAACAAAACTATTTAGAAAATTAAAGTAATCATCGGTAATATATAAACAATATAGTTTACTTATTCTTTACAAAGTTTCATTGCATGTATCTTTTGAGCTAGCAATAAAATAGGCACGAATCAATGATATATATATATATATATATATATATATATATTATTCATGGCAGAGATTTTTGCCATCTGAGTTTGGAAGTGACCCAGCAAGAATGATGTACGCAATAGAACCGGGAAGAGTAACATTTGACGACAAAATGGTGGTGAGGAAAGCCATTGAAGAAGCTAAAATCCCTTTCACTTATATCTCTGCTAACTGCTTTGCTGGCTACTTCCTTGGCGGTTTATGTCAACCTGGTCACATTCTTCCTTCAAGGGACTCGGTCACTTTGCTTGGAGATGGCAACCAAAAGGGTACTAATTATGATTGCAACCTTATGACTTCTACAATATAATTTGTAATTGCACACACCGAGGATAAAATAAGAAATCACTTTTTATCAAATATGAATGTATTATATAGTTAAAAATTCTGTTATTGAACAAGCTAGAGCATAAAGACAATTTTTCTCTTAACATGGAGGTACAATTGGAATTTTTATTAAATTCAGTGTAAGACTTAGAACTATAAAAGATGAATGAGGCGCACATGTCTTACTCAACTATGAAGAACTCTACTACTGGGAAGATCCGAAGAATAAAAGTAACATTGTTAATTAGCCACTTATATTATAAAATAGAAATCGATATCTATCATGTGAAATAAAAAATAGAGTTTTTCTGGTAGAATTTCTCAATCAGTAAGACCAGTTTCTAAACAACAAAATTAGTTAAGATCATATCTAATTAAAAAATATGCAGAATATATAGTTTTTAAATAAATTTGACGACTAAAAATAAGGAGTACTTTTCGGTAGTACCTTTTTCTCAGAACCTACAAGCTAGAGAAACTCTCAAAAAATAAAATAAAAGAATTGTATTAGTTTGTGTAGAAAATTGATATTCATGCTTGTATAATTTGTACTGCTGATCTTCAAGAAAGGCTGTGATCTGATGAACATTATCAAAATCCTAGAATCTCTAGGGACGTGCCCGTTATTAACATTTTTTTTTTCACTTTACAATTTGAATTTTTTTAAAATTTATTTAAAAATATTATGATATATAATGTTTCAATATAAACATGTTTTTTTTAATTGTTTCTTTAAAAATAAATAAATAAATAAGCTAATTATTCATTTTTTTAAGTCAAACTGGAACACGACATGCATAATATGAAAAATAAATAGGTCTTAAAATTAAGAGATTTCAACAATATTTTGATAATGATAAAGCTAAATAAATATAACCAACTTATTTTTATTTTTCAAACTAAAAAAATTATATTCATAAAAACTAATTTTCCAATAACAGTGTAAAATTTTTAAGTTTAATCTTAACCTATATAAAACTATAATTTTATAAAGTCAACAATTACATATTATGCATAAAGAGGGTTGAAAAAAAGAGTTGAAAAAAATATGCATCTTCTCTACTATAAGTACAGATTCATAAGTGAAAATATTTATGAAAATAAAAAAAAAACAATAAATGAGGTGCTTAGGAGAAAATTAAGGAAAAAATATTTTAATAGGAAATTAAAGAAGAAGAAAAGAACCATATTTAAAATACAATGAAATAAAATAGAAAGGAAGAAAAAGCTGAAAATATAATTAAAAAAAGGCTTCAAAGTGAAAAAAGAAAAAAAAAAAAACAAAACAAAAACCAAGCAAGCACGCAGGTTGAAGTACAAAAACTTCAATTACCCTCATCCGGGCTTCTTATATAGAAGATATAACTTACTAATATGTTAATTATTACCTTATAAAGGAATTTTGTATGTTAGCTTTCTTGATCTTAAATTAAATTTTGCAGCAATATATGTTGACGAAGATGACATAGCAATGTACACAATCAAAACCATAGATGACCCGAGAACCCTAAACAAGACTGTGTATCTTAGGCCGCCTAAAAACATTCTATCTCAAAGAGAAGTTGTTCAAGTTTGGGAGAAGCTCATCGGCAAAGAGCTACAGAAGTCTTCAATTTCCGAGAAAGACTTCCTAGCTACTCTTAAAGGTTAGTGGAAATTATACGTATGTCTCTAATCATTGGGCTTAAGAATTCTTATATGATGCAGTTTTTTGAAGAGCCATTAGTAAAAATAATAAGTTAGTTTTATTGGCAAAATAATTTTTTAAAAAAATTAAAATTTACAAAATGACTTCGGAACGGCTATAGAAATGACCACTTTTTACAAAGAACGATTGAATAGTCATTTTTTTTTTAAATGAAATAGATCATTTTATTAATTTCATTATAATGGGCAGTCATTCTATCAAATTTCTTGTTTAGTAATAATTAAAGAGTGAAAGAGAAGCTTGTTCGTCTGTCAAAAAGGAAAAAAATAAAAATAGATGTATAAAGAAGAAACCATCAACTAGCTCGATAATATGAAATATTAAAAACCGATCCTCTTTAACGTCAACTAATATTTAAAGGATTAAAGATATCAAATTTAATTATGAAACTTCTTCTGATTCTATTCCAAAAGTTTTCAACCGATCTCAATCATTTTTCTTTTTTTTTTTTTTTTGAAAATAAGAAGAAAAAACTTCATTTAAAAAGAAAAGAAAAGATTTTATAAAATTAAAACATAATTAAAAGGCCTAAGAAAACTAAAGAAAAAGATCTCTATCCAATACTAGGACATAAAAATTAAAAAGTTTATATATAGGCACCATGCCCGTTATTGGCATTGTTGTTTATTCGTAGAGACAAAATAAAAGGGGATCGATCACATAGAAAAAAAAAAAGAATTATTGGAAACGAGATGATTTTTCTTTTTTTCTTTTTTCCCTATCATTGAACTTATTACGGAATAATGAAATAATAAAAAGGAGAGAGGTATTTGTCGATGCAATCACATTTTTATAAAGTATGGGTTGCGACATAATCATTAAGGTTTGTTCATTTTACCGTTCAAATCATAACTTAAATTTTTTATTATAATATTTTCTCTCATAAAAATTTAAATTTAACTTTTCTGTTATAGTGTTTTCTCTTACATAAACTCACTTTTTAACTCAAGTTCTCAACTCAAACATATGAAATATTAAACGAGGCGTAAGATTTTACTATAGATATTAATTAATTAATAATCGCAAATGCAGAACACATAAATTTGTCACCATTACTTTCTCCATATAATCGTGTGTGTATACGATTTTTAAGTGATTACGCTTTAGTTATCTATTAAATATAGAAAACACCACCGTTAAAATCACAATTAACAGAAAATGACCCTATTTGTGATTCTTATGCTTATTGAACTTACTGAATTGGAGTGTAGCATTGTTGATCCTTTAAGGCTAGTTTTTATGCTAGTATTTTATGAATTAAAACTCATCAGGATAATCGAATATATCCCTATTCCATAAGATAGACTACGTACTGAACATTTGCCACAGTTTTCAACAATAGCTCTAGGAACAGTTTAAACCAATCTATTTTGCCACAATTCGTTTTTGTAACTAATTCGCATAATTAGCTACAAAAGTTTTGTAACTAAAATTTTTTAATTTATTTGTGAAAATACCAATGCAATTATTTAGTGACAAATTTTTTGCTACTAATTATAATTTGTAACTAATAATAAACATTTAGTTACAAATTTCATTTTGTCACAAAAAGTTATTTTTTATTTTCTCATTTAGCTAAAGCCACAATTTGTTGTAGTGTCTTAAATTGACCAGTAGAATGCCCAAAAACAATATCCCATTCTCATTTCTCCAATCCCTTTTTATTTTCTCATTTTTGCATATTCGTTACAAATTGCTAATCGTGCTAAAGTATTTCTTTTTTGGGTTTTCCTATTCGAATAAAAAAGAACAAGATTACGCACAGCAAATTGGATTGGGACATTACTACCATGTCTGTTTCGAGGGTTGTCTTGCAAATTTCGAAATCGGTGATGATGGACTTGAAGCTACTCAGCTTTATCCAGAAGTGAAGTACATTTCAGTGGAGGATTACATGAAGCGCTATTTGTAATATAAAATATATAATAATGAAATATGAAAATATAAGACCCTATATATTAATTTGTTTCTTGTTTGAGTTGTGTAACGGCTGCAAAATGGCATATTGCCGATCCAATAATTAAGCTGTTCTTTACATGGCTTTGTTAATTAATGTTGCAAAGACTGTTATTATAATTAACTACTTAATAAGCAAGCTAATTTCCTTGACTGGTTACCTTTTTCATTCATCATTCTTATGTCTGATTCGGTCCGAACCCAATGAACCGATTAGGAACTTCGGTTTGGGTTCTAAAGCCCGGCATACCAGGGCCAAGCCCACCTGGCCCAAACTTTTTATAAGGGAAATTTATAAGTAAATAAAAAAGAAACAAAAACAAAAATAAGCACTCGCATGACTCATCCAGCCCGAAAAATATTTATGGACTTAGGTTATCAACTTGCCCATCTCTAACACTTTAGCGAGTTGAGACTATCAATATTTTCACATTATACATATACTAAAAGAGATGATGAGATTTACTGTTCATGCTACAGTGCAATGAACAGTGTCTTTTCCGTTTGAGTCCTGCTTTTTTTCTCCTGTTGAAATTTTAATTACCGTTATGTCCAGTTTGTAAAATTACTATTTTGCCCTTCATTTTAGATTTTTGTGCTTTTATTTGCTATGACCATTTTGGTCATTTACTAAGTATTTTTGTCTTTATCAACATATCTAAAATTTCCGGTTGTATCCTAAATATGTGTTTTTATCATTTTATCCTCAGTTGCTTACCTCTGATTTGATTTTTGTTTGGGTACTTTTGTCTTTCGTAATATATTTTTATTTTTATTTCCGTTTTTTTTTCCTGCACAGCTGTCTTTGAAAAGACAGATTTCAATGGTGGGACCCCGTGTTATACGTGTTAAATCAATGGTGGAATTCGGTGTTGTACGTGTTAATCAATTCAAAAAATGTCGTTTGTGTCCCATAAAAGTTGCTTTTATTATTTTGCCCTCAATTTTATTTCGTTCTTGCGTTTATCTACTGGGCATTTTCGTTATTTCGTTCGGTGGTAGTTGTTTAGTCTTCTCGAGAACCTTCCTGCTCCTTTCACTCTCACATCTCACATCTCACGTTTTCCATTTTCTTCTTTGCTGAAGTTTCTCTCCTCTGTCTATTCTCCATATCTGCTCTTCGTATTTTTAACGATTCCTTCTGGTTTTGGTTTAGATTTTTTAGGGCTTTGTTTTTGGTTAAGTTTTTACATTTTCTTCTCCTTGAAATTTTTTTTGTTTTCCAATTTTCTTCTACCTAGGTACTTTTAGCTTTTTAGGGTTTTTTTTTCCCAAAAATGTTTCTTTGACATTTTTTGGGGTTGTATCTCGATTTGTTATGTTATGTATGAGTTTTGTTTTTTGTTTGGATAATTTCTTAATTTTGTGCTTTTATTTGCTATGACCATTGTTTGGATATTTTCATAATTTCATTTCAGAATAGCATTTTGCTATTCTTCGAAGCTTCCAACTTCATTTTTTCTGCACATTTTTTTGGGTTTCCTTTCTTCTCTTTCTCATCCTCTCCATGAAGTTTTCTTCCTCATTTTTCACTGCAGATCTTCAAAGTTTTAAGGTCTTTTTATTCTGAATATGCTTTTCGTCTTCGTTTTCTCTCTATTTTTTTCTGTAATTTCGTTTTGGTTTCTTATGTTTTGCATTTGTGCATGTCTCTGGTTATTTATTTTCGTGAAGTTTCTACCTTTATTTCTTCCGTGAAAAAAAAAAATTTTCCCTTTTTTTATCTATTTTTTATTCATTTTTTTCCTCCTTTCTTTTTTCAGATCTATTAGTGTTTTTATACATTTAGCTTTTTTTTACTTCTATTTTTTTTTCCAGATCTGTTACTGAGGTTTATGGGATTAGATATCTGCATTTGGTTTTGTAGTTTTATTTTTCGTTTATATTTTCTTAGATTTGATTTTGTTTTTTCCCTGTTTTTCATTTTTCCAGATCTCTTAGTGTTTTTTTTTTTTCATTTTTTCCCTTTTTTAATAAATTTTTTTTTTCGTTTTTCCAGATCTGTTAGTATTTTTATAAATTTGGCTTAGTTTTTGTTTCTATTTTGTATTCGGGTTTTTTTTCAAGTTTTTTCATAGATGTTAGTGACGTTTTTGGGATGTTACCGCATTTGGTTATTTTTGTGAAGTTTGTTTCACTTTTTTTCCCCTTTTTGTAAGACTTCTGGGATTCTTTTTTTATGTTTGTTTTGTTTTGTAGTTTTGTTTTCCATTTTAATTTCCTTAGATTTGCCTTAGCTTTTTTCATGTTTTTCATTTTTTCAGATCTGTTAGTGTTTCTGAAATTTTTTAATGTTATTTTTTTCCATACTTGCTAGTGTTTTTATAGATTTGGTTTCGTTTTTTATTATAATTTTTTAAAATTTGTTTTTTTTTATTTCCAGATTTATTAGTATTTTTATTTCCAGATGTATTATTTGTTATTGTTATCTCTTAATTGTTTTCTTCTTTTTTTAATTAAGTTTTTATTTTTACTAATTATTAACTTTTTTTTTGCAGGTTATATTAGTCGGGAATATTTAGACATTTGTTTTTAGTGCAAGGTAATTCTTTCTAATGAGATACTTTGTTTTGACTGTCTGCAGGTTATTCGTTCTGTTCTACAGTACTTATCATGCAGCGTAATACCTGTTTTTAACAAATTATTACCTTTTGTTTGCAGCGTAATAGCGGTAGTATTAAGTTTTGTTTGCAGTATTTACTATCGCCATATGCTCAAACGTTTATTTTCTTCGTATAAATATATTGTTTTCTCTTTCATGCTTATAGTCATTTGCTTTGCTTCTGCTTTCGTTGTCATATACTTATCGTCTATCTTCTCTGTTTTCTTCCTTTTCTTCAATTTTCATTAGAGAAGTTTTTTTCCCCGTTCTATTATCTCTGTTTTGAAGTGTTTTTAGTTCTTCTGCATCAATTATATTCACTTTCGTTATTCCTCTAAGGTATTTATTTCTTACCTTTTTCACCTCATTTCCATATACTTATCGTTTATCTTTTATGTTTTCTTCAATTTTCATTACTGAGTTCCTTTTGTTATCTCTGTTTTGAAGTGTTTTTCCTTCTTCTGCATCAACTCTATCTACTTTCATTATTGTTCTAAGGTACTTATTTCTTACTTCTTCCACTTCATTTCTAATTCTCTATTAAAAATCTATTGGTCCTTGGTGGTGATGATGTTTTTCCTCTTTATTGTTACCATATATTGAGTAATTGTTAAAAGTGATTTAGCAAGTATTGATGTTGCCAGGATTATTGAAGATTTATCTTTATATTATTTTGTTTAGGGTGTTTATGTTTTTTAAAAAATAACAAATCTTTTTACTTCTTACTTGCAAATATTTTATTTTTCTTATTCCACACTGAACCATTTCATTCTTTAACTGATTTTTTTTAAGGTTTTTTTTCACTATTACAGTTATTAAAATTTGTTCCTCTGTTATTTAGTGTAAGTCTTTCAATAATTCAGCTGGTAGCCAATGATAATGTTGAATCATAATTCAGTTACATTTGATACATTTTGGTAGCAAAAAAAAAAAAAAAAAAAACTCCGAAAATTGTTGCCATGTATTGAGTAATTGTTAATAGTGATTTACTAATTATTGATGTTGCCCGGATTATTGAAGATTTATCCTTATATTATTTCATTTAAGGCGTTTATGTTTTTTTAACAATAATCAATCTTTTGACTTCTTAGTTGCAGGTGTTTTATTTTTTTAATTCTGCTTTAAACCATTTCATCCTTTAACCGAATTTTTTCCTAAGGTTTTTGTTCACTATATTTACTCTGGTGTTTATTATTTGGTAGGAAGTTATAATCATTTAACTGTGATTTAACTTTGGAAGTTTCTTATTTTCTATTTTTTTCCTTTTGTCCATCGTTTTTTATTATTTTATTTTTTAATATAACTATTTCAATAATTCAGCTGGCAGCCAATTACAATGTTAAATCATATTTTAGTTACTTTTGATACACATTGGTAGCAAAAAAAAGATGAATACCTGAACCATTCCTTTTATATATTTTGATGTCTTTGTCTTTTTGCTTCTTACTTGCAGATGTTTTATTTTTCTTATTTTAGCCCTCATGAACATTGTAATGATGTCATAGGTGGCAGCCGTGTATATTACTAGATGTCATATATATAACCTCATTTTGTACTTTCCTATTTTCTTACCTGTGCTGGACAATTTTTCCTTTCCAATTGACTTTTGATCATTCACTGCTATTCATATTTCACTTACTAATGTTTGTTGTCTGTACTTGACTATTGTTTCTTTCTAATCCACCTTTGCTCATTCACTGTTATTTTTCCTTCGTTGACTAACACTTTGTATTTATACATTGTTCTAAGCTTTACTTCAAATTAATGTCTTTCTTTATCAAAAATTTTGTTTTTTTTATTCAAAAATTTACTCACACTGTTTTTTTTTCTTACCATGTACTGGAAAATAAGCTACAAGTTTGTTTGATGAAACATTACAACACGGAATCTGAAAATTTTCTTGCAGGGGCATGAAATAACTCAAAAGTCCAAATTTATGATGTAATTGAGACATAAATTTGTATATAAATTTTTTTCTTATTCTGTTATAATTATTTTCAGGAAGCAATAATAGCTTTTCTTCCTTTTAATACATGTATAATAATACATATTATTATTTATAACTATATTACATTTCTTTTTTTGTTTAACGTTTATCAACTATTAAAACCAACAAAATAACAAATAAAAACAGGAACCAAAAAAAAGGAGTTATGCCAGTCCAAACATTTGGCCCCGAAACAGCAACAAAAAATCCGTTTGTACTAAGCAAAGCCGAAATTGATATAATTCAATAGTTTTTAACATAATAATATCCTTTAACATCATACAATTTTATTTTTAATTTTTTATTCTGAAAACTTCATTTCTTTTTATTTTATATTTTATTTACTTTATTTTTTTCCCTAAATATG